CTACATAACAGACGACAGAAAAACAACGCTGTTTCCTATACTGTCAAAAAGACACTTCAAAAGCCAAAACCAGATTTTAAAAACATCATCTTGAATATGTTACAGACTTTTTCTTCACAAATCTGAGAGAATGTGCCGTCCAGAAAGGCCACAAAATCACTAGTTCGTATGCCTTCAAGATGTATGTGTATTCTACACTGTATCTCAGCATCTCTCTCTCGACTGAGAAGAGTAGCTGACCTGCCAAAAATACTTTATAAATAAAAATATGACCATGCCTCTATGTCCATGTCCTCATTAGAATGAATTTTGCAAGCTAAGAGTGAAGCCCTTGTTGGCAACCGAGCTTGTAATCTTCTATTAAAGTAAGCTATCCTGTCAAAAGGAAATTTTCTTGCTCTAATTGTGTCTGAACTTCCATCAGAACAGTTGTTCGGCTGCTTCCTCTCCCATCCCCCCTTTTTAAAGGGCTGCAGAAAGACTAAACTCTGACATATTAACAACATTGATACAATGCACGCAGGAGAAACGAAATGGGGAAGAAGGGTAAGTTCTAGTTAAACTCAAGGTCTAGGTTCACTCAGATAACACTTCTTATGTTCTGTTTTTTGCCAGTGCTCAGAAGAAAACGTGCTAGCAATCATTCCTTTAAAAGGTTCCAATCTTTCTCATCAAGCGACTTCACAATAAGCATTTTGCTGTCAAAGCATCCTCTCCAAAAACTGTGCCTGTTTGTTCCCCCGCCCCACACACTAGATTTCATGCTTCAAATAGCTGCAACACAGAAATCAAGGAAGGAGAGAGGCTTGTGCAACTTTCCAGCGTTTGTTATATCCTGAAGCAGCGAACTGTGCCTCAGGTTCTTAGAAAAAAAACTGTCACAGACAAGTAAAGCTAGTTCCTTCCTCCCCCAGAAGGGGGAGAAGAAAGAGAATAAAATTCTTAACATATAGAAAAAACTATAAAGGAGGGAAAAAAAGTTATTTGTCCATATGCCAAAGATGCCTATAGGGACACGCATCATTTAATACACTTATTACCACACTCAAAGGAATGCATACAGATGTCCAGAACACAGATCTTTGCAAACAAGCTGGGATGGACGGACACACACACACACAGAGACACACACACAGAGAAATGGCTCCAGTGTAATGGAACGAAGAAAACATGTCAAAATATCCATCTGTCTTCTAGAAACTTCTGGAGTGGGGTGAGGTGAGGGGGTTGGGGAGGAGAAGAGAAAGAACCCCTGTTTTTCTCAGAGTAACGAATTCTGCAGTCAGAGAATACACTGCAACAAATCTGCTGCTGCTTTTTAGAGTATGTCCTCCCAAACGACCTGTGATGATCTCTTAGATAGTTTCTTTACCGCACTTCAAATCATTTAAGGCAATATCACATATTTCTTAAGTACAATAAACTAGACCACCTATTAAGGACTCAATTGTAGGAACCTCTCCGAGATCGTCCAGCAGCTCGTGAATTGGATCATTGTGCTCAGGAGCAATTGCATCTTGATGGTCCAAGAGCAACTAAATGAACAGAAAGAACATTTATGTTGTTAACTGTACATCCTTTTCTAGACAGTAAAATTACATTACTTTGAGCTGGTATCTTTTAGAAAAAGATCTTATTTCACTGAACTCCAAAGCAGCAATATCAACATTCAAAGCTGTGCCATTATCACATACTCAAATACTTTCAAAAAGAAACTTAGAGAAGCCACAAGCAAATTGCTTAATTCTATAAACCAAGAAGCTCTTGCACACTACAATCAAAAGACAACTTTCAACCTTGTATTTGGTAACTTTGCGTTTCAGCCAGAAGCGGCATTTTCTTTGTAAGCACTGCCTATAAGGAGCAACTGTGACCGATGTATACTTACAGTGTGTGTATTGATGATTTCACCAATAGAAATATAAATAACTGGTTTAGTGAGAGTCACCAAGTCAGAATATTCATCAATATTAAATTTATCCTGCAATTCAGGAACCTCACAGGCAGCCTGAAAAAAACGTCTTCAGAAAAAAAGGAGAAGAAAAGAAGAATCAGTGTGATTCTGAGAGTCACGTGATGTATCAAGAGCATTAACTCCCCATAATAATCCCAAGCATAGTCTCTCTTCTTTAAAGTATGGTACGTTACGGTACACTACAATTTGTCAGCTTTAGTTTAACACATCAGAAGTAACCCAGTAAATTCAATTATGGATATTGGCCATGTTGACATTGGCTCATTTTCAGCATTCACAGGACTGGTCTATTGCTCCAGTGACCTTGTTCACACGCCCTTGCTCCCAGCAATCTCTGGTCTTCTTTCTTCCAAAACACCAGAGAAGTATAAGATGACGATTCTTGAACAAAAGCTTACTTCAACTCTATGAACAGCTAAATGCCAACCTGCTTTATTCCTGAGCACCACCGGGTTTTCATGTGGAGCCAGGGTTCATATGGGACAGAAGAATGTACGTCCATTCTAGTTGTCCACATCCAAAGTATCACAATAAACACGTGTAAAAGCAACCTTTATTCTGGAAGCTGCTAAGTCAAAATACTTGACTTCACAATCTCATTAACATGCAATGTATTGCTCATGAATTCCAGGTACACATTCTACCTACTCTTCTCACTGATGGTTATGGCAGTCTGGAGTGCAATCTCTTATTTTCAACAGACTGCATATTTGACAGAGATTGAATTTATCATATTTAAAAGCTATTATTATCCCTTTTTACTTGCAATGTTACCTGCTGCCAAACTTCCCAATTTAATTAGCTAAGGTCTTCTACCTGAATTTCTGGTACGACTGCGATAGGTATTCATTAATGATGCTTAGGTGCGCATTGTCTCCCATGAACATCTTATTGGATGCAGCATGCTGCAACATCTTTGCAATGGAACCGAGGTTTCTGCGCTGATCCGTGGTCAGCTGACCTCCAGCTGAAAGATCAATGATGTCAAACGCATCTGGTGCGACAATGGCTGGATTCATGTAGCGATAATAGAGTAAGTTGCCAACAATCTGGGAAAAGTTGAGCAGAGAAGAAATGCATCAAGAAACAATGGTATAGGACCCAACTGAATTTTACAGAAACTACTCTGACTGTGCTTTGATAAATTATTTTCTCGTAAGCCAGTGGCCCCTTCCAAGATAAAGGTTCTGCTGCGCTGCTGTATACAAGCACATACTATCCCAAAGAATCTACAGTGTTAAAAAAAAAAAAAATCATTAAGATGCAAAAGGATGGTCAACACAAAGAGGGAACACTGAGCACTGCTAGTCACAGGACAATACAGCAGCAGATATCCCTATGCATAAAGATTTAAAACTTTAACTTATGAAAATGTATGGACAGGAGATATTACAAGTCACCAACGGACTACTCATATGAGCATGAGACAATCTATCAGGAGAATTAAACATAATTGAGTTAGTCTAACAGAGGGCAGAACGATCATGGTATAGAGGAACCCGGTAACGCAGTTTCAATATGGAACAAGAGCTAATTCTTAGAGAAGCATGCAGAATTGGCCACCATCTCCAACAAAGCAAAAATGGTGAGGAAGCATGGCACACCAAGGAACTAAACTGAGGAAACTACTTTCCATTCCTTCTCCAAAGCCCTCTTCTCCTTCAGAATAATTCTTCGATAAGCCAGCAACATTTTCAGGCACAGACCCCCAGTTAAAAGTTAGCGAGAGTAACTGAGAAACCACTTAATCCGGAGGTAAGAAAATCAGAAACACAGAAGATGAATGGCATTTGATGCTTCAAAATCCAATTTACCTAGTCAAATGTGACCAGCAATAAACTTCAAGGAACTAAAAATAAAGATGTCACATTATCCATATGCTCACAAATATACTTCTAACCTGTATTTGATATTTTGCCAAAAGTAATTCCAGCAAAGAAAAGGAATTAACCCAACATGCTGATGTAAAGCAATAGTTCTCACACCGCATGCTCTAGTATTTTCTGGTGGTTCACAGAAACTTGCAGAGGGCCAAGTCACCGAATCTTGGCTTCACCTGCTTGCCACATGACTTAAGTGCACAGAAGAAATCGGAGTCTAAACAAGCAGCTGAAATCAGAGAGAAAAAATCTAGCCATTGCTGAGCAGCCCCAGAAATTATTAACTGCTTTCAGTGAGGTCATGTTTTTGACAACTGTTCCATGCAAGCCCCTGCTGTACTCTCACAGATTACGTTGTGGGATGACAACAGTCAAAGCTGTTTACTACCAGTAATAAGAAAACACATCTGTGAAAGAAACTGTATTAATAACTGTCAGACTTGCAGGAGGAGAACAGTATATTACATGGGTAGCTTTGGTTGCTAAAACAATCTACGAGTAGTCATTGCCCGCAACTGCAGTTTTGACTTTCACATGGACAGTTACATTGTTTCCATGAGGATTAATGAAAACTGCAGTTTTCCACCTAAATTTACAGATGGAAGAAATTAATTCACCTGCATAGAAAGAATCGATGTCTCAGAATGGGAAAGCACAGAACTAGAAGAGAGAAGAAAACAGCATTCAGATTGGTAATTATTTTGTAATGAAGCAGAGGCAGAGAAGCTTAAAGAGACGTTGTCAAGTAATCTAAGATCCAAACTTTGCTTTATTAACAAGCAAAGCATTCACGGACATAAAGGCCTTCACAATTGCCAAAAGCCATAAAACCAAAAGAACTTCAATGAAAACCCCAAAGCTATACTCATCTGAGAGTGCCTACTATTAGGATCCTTTTAGTTCTCCAAACCTGCAGACATGCAAAATACAAAACTGGCTAGACATCATGGAAAGTGACTCTCTACATATTGTCAAAATATCCTAGAGTGTTACAGATAGGGGAATCACAAATATCAGAATTTTGCATACAGACTTTTTAACTTGACATTGCCTCTTTAAGAAAGGAGCAGCTGACTGTGATCATACCAGCAAAACCACGGTTTACTTTCTAGGAGCAAGAGTACCCCAAGTCAAGAAACCTAAAGGACCAAATGCCCAAGGTATTAAATGCAAAGCAGAAGCAACAGGATACCTCCTTCTGAACAATGTACGACATCTCAGGTGACGTACATGAAGCTAACAATCAAAAGCCCAATGTGAAACATTTTCTATCCACAGAAGTAAATAAATAAGCTTTATCTAGGTTTACATGCACTCCTCTCCACACATACACCCAACAAAGGAGGAGAACGAGACGCGCTTGCCACAGCCAATTTGGCTGACAATTATTCACAAAAGCGTCCAGATCCTCACCTTCAGAAGCTCATCCTCGCCAGCATCAGGAAACTTCTCATGCAGGGAGTCTTTTAGTACCTTGGCAATGAAACGCATTCCATAACTTCGAGAGAAAGAAAAGGGCAAGTAAGACTGCTGCAAGCATGAACCCACCAACAGCTTCCAAGGGAGAATACTGTGATACACCAGACTCACGGGATTTTGTCCACTGAACTAACAATGGCAGACAGGAACTTGTCTGTCACTGTCCTCATGTTTCTGATTGAGGCATCCAGGCGCGTCCTCACCTCTTCGTGATTTAGAGCTTGTTCAGGTGTAACATCGTACGGCAGTTTGCTATTTGAAAGAGTCAAACATGTGAAGGTGAGTACTCCTCAGGCTAGCACATTACTAGCTTGACATGGAAACAAGCTTATATTCACTTGGCTGCCAACAGCTGTGCATTGCCTTCAATTAACCTTTTAAGCACTGGAAGAGCTGAAGACTTCTTGCTTTTACTTCCTCTACTCTCCCTTGCAATGGCCACTGTGAGAAACGGCCCAGCTAACAAAAAACTATCGTTTTTACAGCATGCACAGTAGGCAAAAAAGTGCCACGTGTGACATGTAGCGGTACTTCAGGCTGCAAATAAATCGGCGAAAAAGCAAGCTACGCATTTGAATATTAGGATGATAAAAGCTTGGACACAAGCCAGGAGCTAGAACAGTATCCATAAAAGTGATATAACGTGCTATTGGCGGGAAGCAGTGCCAATGAGTAGTTACGTTTTCTCCATCAGCTGAAATTACTGCATAGTATTCAAGTGAAGACAGACTGATGAAGCAGATAATTTATAAAAGCATCTCCTGAATCTCATGTAAAGAGAAGGACCCGAACATACATCTTTGCCTGCATTTTTAACATGTCCAGAATTTTGAACCAGGCGTACTGCAAAATATAGGACTGCGGATTGCTTTGAATGGGGAAACTAACTTTTTTTTTTTTTTTTTTTAAAGTATGTTTCATTAAAACAAACAAACCAACCCACAACACAATAGAAACCTCACATTCTAGTAAATCACATGCACTGGAAGAAAAAGAAACCAGAATGACACAAAACCATCCAGCACAATCCAATTGTCATCAGTGGCTGATACTAATTAGAAAGATGTTAGGACTAAAAGGACTGCAATGTCATGCTTCTCCTCCAGCAAAAGAGGTTTTGTTGGCTTGCAAATAGTACCTAAGTTTGCACCAGCTATATACGACATGAGCAGAGACTGACACGGAACTGATTCCCAAATACTTTTTCTCACCATGATTTCTTTTAGGTTAGAGGGCATCTCATAGCTAATTATCAAGTCAATATAGGCAAACACCAAAGAGCATTTCTTCTTCCATCTCCTAATGAGATTCCCTTTCAATACCCTCAGCACCATCGCCAGAACGTGATCTTTAGAACTCTCACATGAAAGCCGCCTTGAGGATATGGAAAAGCCGGTGTCAGTTGGACAGATGCATGCAGTGAAGCCAAGGATGAAATGATTAACTGAGCAGTGCAAAGCAGCCGAGCAATGTTTAGAAAAACACAGTAGTAACAGTTCCCATACCTGGCCTCGCCGGTTTGAGACTCCATCTGGTTAACCCAAGACTTGTAAATATCCACCGGATCAGTTTTGATATTGAGTGATTTGTCGTCGATGATTTCCTTCACAACCGGTGCCAGGATCTGCCTCAGGGCATTCTGACCACGGGCACCACGGTTGAAACTTACCACCATTTTAATAACAGTAGGATTCCCAGTCACAATTTCCTGTATTTGGTCTACTTTTGATCTGAAGAAGAAAGAATCTATATGAAATATGAGGTATGCATAATTCTGTCAGCTTTAGATACGTTTCTCAGCATAAACCAAACTGTTAAAGAGCATCACACTCATGAACAGGTGATGGATTTTTACTAAAATCTCGATACAGCAATAAACTACAACACTGTACAAGAACAATACCGGAACACTTCTCAAGACAGACGAGGCAAGAAACTTATGACCTCTGTTTGGGAACTCCAATGCAACTTGCCAGTAGCCATCTCAACAACAATTAATGCAAATCCAACTGTACATTCTATTTGAGAGCAAATTCAAAAATACAAAGGAAACAGAGCACGTTTTATGTAGAGAAGAAAAAGAACAGTAGATTTCTTCCAGTATTTAAATAAGAAAATGAGCAATTGACAACAGAAGCCTCTCCTAGTATACCACTATGTGAAATACAGCAGCAGAGAACAAAGTGTCTACATTTCCCTGGACTACTATTCCAAGCATGAATTTAAGGGAAAAAAAAAAATCTCTTCTAGAAGTTGTTATTTGTTTCAGGGCATATACCATCTTCATGCTTAAAAGGCATTCCAAAGAATGCTTAAAGAGTAGTTTCTCAAAGATTTTATTGCACATTCTTCTTCACAGCCAGTTGTGCAGATCTGCATTGTAAAGAACTGAAGTCATGTAACACCGAGCTCCTAAGGCCCAACTGATCAAACAAAACATCCCTGCGGACAGCCAGAGTCCCTAACACTGACAGTACACAAAAATCCCAAACAGTAAAGCCTCTTGGTTGCAGCCTCCTCACCAGCTTTTGGAAATCCAGAGAGCTTAGTGTTAGCTTTCTCTCTGGCTCATAAAGCCCGAGTTTGCAGTTTGTTGGAGGTGTTTATAATCAGACACTAGAGAATTGAGATTAGACTGAATTTTAGGATGACTTTGCATCAGATTAAAAGTAGTTGCCATGTTGAGCAGTGAAATCTTGACTGAAGTACAAAGCCCTCATCCTCAATGGATATACTCGACTCTTCCTTTATAGACTACATTAAGAACAGATATGAAATGGGAAGAGGACAACGAACAGACAGTTTAGCATTATCTGCATATTAGCATGAGACATTACACGAAAACTGTCTCAATTCGAGAAACGGCCAAAACTGATTCAACAGCAAGAATGTGCCGTATGCTACCACGTACTTGATCTCTTCCTGCAATGCTGTTTGGAAAAGCCGCAACAACAGGTATTCCTCTCTTTGATTAGATGCGTAGTTATACAGCGTGAAGATGACAGAATCCATGAACTTTGTGGATTTGTTTTGAGGCATCTGAAAAATCAGCTTGGCCAAGTAGGTTGGGTTAGTCTACAACAACAAGAAAAATTACTTAGCGTGCACGTCTACGCAGGCCAGTGTCGCTAAGAGCTATGGTGGCTCAAAAATACAGTGCCTAAGCAAAGACTGTGCCAAGACACATAAGCATCTATGACAAGAGGTTACTGAGCAGTGTTAGAAGCTCTTACCTGAAGTAAGTAGAACAGATGCTGATAGGCTTCCAGCTTTTCTCTCTTCTCTTTGCTCAAAGCTTTCAAACCTCCCCTTTGTTTGTTCAGCATCATCATGTCAGAGAGCTGTTCCTTGTTCTTCTTGGTAAGTTTTTTGCTATGAGAAACAACATCCTGGAAAGAAAGAATAGGGACAGATTCCACTCTAAGTATTTTATAACAGGCAATATTGGAAAACAGTTGCATCTGAGAGCCCACTTCTCTTGTATGTGGGAAGGCAGGGCCAAGGTATGCCTGTGGCTATTAAAGTGAAGCACTATTTGCTATGGCAGCAATTTCTCTGACTGGAAGTACCTGCTCTGCTTTGTCCCCAACTTCCTGAATTTGTCCAAAACCATTGGTAGTCACTCTTGGCAGCAATTACTATCAGAGCTGGTAGCATCCTGAAGATGCCTGAAAACGTTTTCCTTTTTAAATTCCGCTTAAAACCTAAAAATCCTGTTTCATACTCAGCTAGCTCACTACCTCTACATACTCTGACAGCAACAGCACTTTTTGCTGCAGGCACCAGCCCAAAAGCTGCAGCCTCCTTCCGAGATGAATTCCACTACGCCAATTGAGTTTTTACACTGGGAGGAGCTTAGAGTCATGCCATCCAGGACCAAATGCATAGCTGACCAGAACTTCAGCTTGAAGAAAAGACAATGCTGTATGAGGAAGAGCTTTTTGTTGTGAAATTCATCATGTCAGCCACATGATAGAGGGGGGCCTCCTTTAACCAACAGACACCAAGTGGCATGAGCACGTCTCCTGCCTCCGAAATCACCCCCCTCACTGCAAGCTTCTGGTGTGTCACTTGTTTAACCACAAAGGAGCAACAAAACAGAGTTCTCAAAGCCTTCAAGCACACAATATCTGTTGCATTCATCAGGTCACAATAGTCTGGTGTTTGTTTATCTTTTTTAGCTTCAGGTCTTATTTCTTCTCCTCCTACAGTTTTCTTTCTAGGGATACATACTAAATTAGCGGAATGGAGTAAGAACGTACCGTGAGTAAAATCTGTGAGTCTGGGGCAATGTTTTCCGCTGGGCCTGAGCAACTGACATCCAAGGCCAGGAGCTCTCCATGCTAACTACCACTGGGCTCAGTTCAATCTGTAGTTTGTCTCCCATCAGCACATTTCCTACCTGCAATGTAATTTTGTTTTTCACTAGCAGCCCAATTTTGATGTCCATGAGATTGAGGTCATTTTCCAGTTGCTGATTGGATCGGATCAAGGTTACAACTTCCTCACGCAGTTTCATTAGCTCAAGCTCCTCCTGAAAATCTTGGTCACTCTGATCGAGCAAGTGGACAAATTTCCGAACCACAGCCATAGGTGGGTTTTCAGCATTAACTAAAAATAGGCAAGAAAACAGAGAAACAGAAAGTAAATATATTTCTTATCTATGTTTAAACAGGACATCAAGGAGCAGCCAGAATAAAATTAGCATCACCATGTCTAAACAGCTTCTGACATTTTGAGTTTCTTGTTTTGAGTAAATCATGCGAGAAGCAAACAGTAAAGAACACAGTCAATACCAGCCTAGGGTAGTTCACACCACCAAAGTTAACTGCAAAGCTATGGTTCTATTTTTCAGCTGCAAAAGCAACAGCTGGAATCAAGTTTTCCTTCAGCCTCAAGAACTACCTACTCTCTACACTGCCCGACCAAATTCATCCCAATCGCTCTTCAAAACTGTCTTGATGTTATAGATCATGCTAGCAACATCCCATGCAAACAGAGATTTGAGGCACATCAGTTTTATCCTCTTGGCAATACTTACTGAGGGTTTTGTAGTCTTCTCGTGCTTTGTTTGCTCGGATAAAGGCTTGGATTTTTATAACATCATTTATCTAGGATTTAAAAAAAAAAAAGCGCGCACTTGACCTCATTTTGGAAAGAATACGAAAGTCAGGTACTGAATTCATTTAACAAGAGAGCCTCTTACATGGTTTCTGAAATACTGCAGACGATCTCTGTAACGTCTTCTGGCTTGATACATCCTGGTCATTGACTGAATCTATAGAAGGGTAACCAAAATACTCAGATAAAAACCTTTCCTACAAAGTTCACTACCCAAAAGGTTTACCAAAAATGTGAGCAGGGAGCCTTTGCTACCTTCACTACTTGGTCCTTTTGTGCTCGCAGGTAATCCAAACGGATTTGATATGCCTTCCTCTGCTTGTAGCCACGCCACTGGGACTGAAAACAGAAAACAGAAGCACTGAGTTTACTTTTCTAGTTACAGAGAAGTAATTACAAATCTGAGCTTTTTTCTGCTCCTCAGCTTCTGACTTCTCTTTTGGCTAAGTAAAACATGAGGGAGACATGCTTATCTTATCAAGAGATACACAGTGGGAAGCATTAACTATTTCACCAACTGTAACCATGAGAGACTTGAGATCACCCCATGAAGAGCCTGTGCCTTCTGAAGCACAGTTAGAGATCAAGGATATAGCTATAACAGTCACGTTGACAGAAACTGTTCTACGTGAGGATCATGCATTAAATGCTGCTGCTGGCGAGAACAGTGATGTAACACTATAAGCCTTCAGAGCAGACCCACTGCTACTGATACTTGGAACAGAAGTTAGGCAAGGGGTTGGTCTACACTTAAAGGGAGAGAGTTTTATTTTAATGAGCTGGGAGTGGTTTTGGGGGTTTTGTTGTGGGTTTTTTTCCAAATACGTACACAGTGCGTGCTACTTATGCAGAAACAAACATGCATACACTGCTCAAATAATAAAGCGGTAATAGGGTGCAAAGCATCTATTTCATTTGCACACATTTCAGTTACAACACCAGAGAGATTTTTTTCATTCTTCTCCTGCAAATGCGCCCAACCTCATGCTGAATTATCCCACCATCTCTTTCAGATCCTCAATCCTCCAAATCCCTGGACAAATTTGAAGAGAAGAATAATCTTACTCAGAAATACTGAAAACCATGTTGTTTCTCTTCAATTCATGAAGAATCACAGTAGTAATTCATCACATGGTATTATCACCATAAAGAGATACGGAACACTTCATACTGCCTATTCCCAAAACACTGAATCTGGTAATAAAATGATAGGTAAAGCTTCCTCAAATAAGTTTTTCTCTCTCCAATTCTGCCTGAGAAGACTTCATTGATTATACGTGACATGGAAAAGTAAATAATATACCAAAACTTTGGGAGAAGGAAATGCCTTCAGAAAATTTGGAAAATGAGGTAAAGACAATTGTGTGCTGTAACTGTTTGAATTGAACAAAAACTGTCAATAAGCTTGCACATAGAAAACAATTGCAGAGTACAAGTTTCAAACATAATTAAAGGATGTCGTTACCTGAATGCACGTGATTGCTGGGACTTGTTTCTTCAAAAAATTCATTCTCGAGTTGAATTCTTGGCGAACAAGATATCCTCGACAGCAAGCCTGAAGTTTCGTAATCAGGTTCTCATTGGCCAGCCACAACTGCTCTCGGTTGTACGCCGCAGTGACTCCAGATATGGTGGTCTGGATTAATGTTACGGTAGGAAGAAGAGCCAGAAAAAGAGAATGGAGATACAAGAAACAGGATGTTACATCAGCTTTCCGTATTGTGCTTACGAGAAACTTCCAAGTTGCCTTTCAATAAACAGCAACACCATGGTCCTGCACCCTTTTACCAACAGGATGAATTTTTCTGAAATGGGACAAGGAGTTTTGACATACACAACCTGATGATGCTCAGTGAAATAAATGAGTTACTAAGCTTGTTAACATGACTATAGCCTTGAAGCATTCTCTCTTAGAGCTGCATTAAGGATGGGAATGGTAGGAACATCAACTTTTCAGAGAAAGAAATGTGTTATCTACCCTACCTGTATCTCCTCCCGTGACAGCTGCGTGTCATTTTGCACGAATTCCGCTGGTTCATCCCATCCTCCCTCTTTGGTCCGCAGGTTATGATAATAATGATAGCCTCCTCTCACCCAGTGTTTCACCCATTCACTGCCATTGCCCCCTAAGAGCAGAAACTGCAGCGTAAGTCTCAAAAACAGACAGGTGTCTTATATTTCCCGCATATAAATGTTACAACTAGGAAATCCACATATACAGATGCTCTTTCCTCCAAGCAAGAGAAGGAGCATTTCCGAGTTTGTAAGGACCTCACATGAGAGCTACCTAAACACAATGCATTCTACAAGTGGAGAACATTCTACTATTCTTTTTTTCTTTTAAAAACTTTAGTTCACAAAGCACCCACAATTGCCACCTGTAACACAAGACTTCTCCCCAGAGGCTTTTCTACCTCTGGTTCTGATTCCACATGCAATAATCTTGAATTTATTTCACTAACAGCTAGCTACTTGAGATTCACCTGCTGCAGTTTTTCTTCTCTTGACTTCTGACAGCTCTCGCTGATACGTCTCAGCGCATTCTGGAGTGACTCCGTATAGCCCAACATCCGGTGAACGCAAGGCACTCAGGGTCTGGCTAATATCACCACGCTCTACTGCTTCATTAATGGCCAGAATTCCTAAGGAGACTTTGATAACACAAGGAAGCAGGTTACCTTGGCATTCAGGGGCTCAGTGACTCACAGTAAACACAGAACGACAGAATAGAACAAGGCAACACGAACACACACTTACAGTTGGGGTGTGTGTATATACACAAATATTTAAGTGTGTATAAATACAAAATATAAATAAAGAACAATCAGACAACTTGCAGTATAGAGGTCCCTTCAGTACGGAGTGTCCAAGCATACACGGTACTGCACCTGACAGCACATGATTTGTGTGCCTCGAGTCCCTGTATCGTGCTGATTTACCACCAATATTTATACCACCAAGACACACAATGTTTCAGCTCTACTCTGATATCATTTTAGTTAAGGCAGTTTCTTCTGGCAGAGCCAGTCACAACTCCAAAGGGGCCTTTTCAACAACTAGCACCATCCATCCCTAGTGAAAAAAGTATGGAGTAGTTTGTAAACAAGCCAAAAACCTGACTGGGGAAAGAGGGGCAGAGGAAGAGAAAAATAACAACACGTCATTCCAGGGCTACTCCAGAACTGCAACTCAAATACAGACATACTCACAAGGGCACAGGAATCGCACTGACAGAGCAAACACGAAATACAGGAGTTTTCAGCACTAGGTGAGACTGCAAAAATGTCTGTTCATACGTGGATAGAGAAGGGTATCTGAAGATCTTATTCAGGCTTAAGGGCACATACTTTAATCCTGCTTTTGACCAAATGTTCCTTGGCATGACATTCAAGCTGCTGCCTTGCCAAAGTGCTCAGTGGGTGGGAAAATGGTGAAAAAATTGCACTGGTACTGCTGGGAACAAACAGTAAGATGAACAGGTAAAGCTCTGCCCTACTGCCCCCGCCCTTTTTTTTTTTTTGACAGGGGAATTCACTGACCAAATAATGTCATTAAAAACAACTGAACTAGGCCATAGAGTCAGACAAACTCATTGTGTCTTTCATTAGAAAGCTTTTTATGAACCTCTTGTTTTTACTCTATTCTAAAACATCTACAAATAAAGAATACAAATGGACCAGGCCACAAATATAAAAGCAAGCTCATTTCTGCGCCAACAGAGCGAGGACGAGAGGAATCAACCATGCCAGAAACTCTATGTATCTGATACAGAGATTCATTAAGAACTCGCGTTGGAGGGCGACTAGTCCAATCCTGTTGTCAAAGCTGGGCTAACTTCAGGGCCTTGTCTGACCGACTTTGGAAAACCTCGAAGGACAGAGATTCCACAGGGCCTTTGGACAACCTGTTTCAGAAGGCACCAGAGAGATTCCAGACTCAAATTAAACTTTTCAGCTTCCAGTACGGTTGCCTATTCAAACCAAAATCAGAAGGGACTGACAGTGCATCTTTGGATAACTTTAAGTATCAGCCTAACATCAAATTAGAAGGTTTGGAAGCAGAAAGTAAGACATTTCATCAGCACACCAGAGATGAGGAAACAGAATCAAGGAAAATATAAGGCGACTATAAAGAGGGAAACCAATCAATTTACTAATACTATACAAATCAAGCAAAACAAGCAGACAGGTGCAAATGATGAATGCAACGGAAAAATAGACGTTTAGAGTAAATGCAAATAGAACAATATCATATTTAAAAATGTATAAAAACAAGCTCTCTGAAGCATGTAGTACCCAGCAAACAAACAGCATATATAGAGAACAGGCAATTAGAATATATCAGAAGACTTTAAAAACCCTAATTTTTTGTTAAAGAGAAAGTTTCTGGCAAGAACAACAACAAAACCACCCCAAGCACAAAACCAAAACCAACCAAAAAACCCAAGTTAAGCAAAGAGTAGTAATTACTTCATTGTCTCTGGAGACAGAAAAGACATCATTATAAAGACTGGGATGGCCTGTCCACCTACAAACTGCGCTAAGGAGCAAAGGTGAATATCACTGAGGTGTATTATTGTCTGTATTTGAAAAAGATGCGAGGTAGTCTAGAAATACTTCATAGACATGAGACGAGACAATAGTATGCCACCGAAACAAAGGTAATGTGCATGAGAAAACATCATTTAAATTGTGCACGTAAACATTCTCATACATAACTAACCACCCACAGACACACACAATTAGTTGCAAATGACAAACTATTTGATAGACATTTGCCCAATGAGGCAACATGGTCACATGCAAAGCTGGAAAAATGGCATATCCGCCCAAAAGATAAGAAATTTAATATTTGAAGAATCTGACATTCACTCTTCAAAGAAAAATTACTACACCAGAAGAACATAAGTGCATTTGATTTCCTTTTCCACATTTACATGACATTTCTAGCTCCCAACCCTTCCTTAAGTAACCAGTATTTGGTTGATAATGGGGATTAATTGCAATATTGTGTGACAATACTTACATCTCTCCGACTCCTCTGTGTCCTTGTTAGCCTTATGAATCCCGTCCTGAATTTCATCTAGCCAAAGTACAGCCGTTTCATCCTGTGTGTCCTGAAGAGAATACAATGAGAAAAATACACACGGCGTGAGGAGAACAGCATCGCTATTTTTGCAAAGTAAAATAACCCGTACCCAACAATAGCCAATATAGCAGTCTTCTGTATCAGAGGGAATAAGAAATTTTTCAGTCTTTCTAATTGACTCCAACACAAGGACATCATGTGCATTTGTGACTAGTAGAGACTACTATGGCATTACCAGACTCAATACCTCCTCCCAGTCAAAAACACTTTTCAGGAAACAGAACGAAGAAGAAATTCTGTCAATGGGAATCACTCTGATAAGCAAAGAGAACACAAGGCCAAGGACTTGGTACTGGTTAGTCCTAAAGCCGTACTTGCTAAGAGGACGTGACTTCCCAGGAACACAAGTTAGTCCTTCGACAGAACATGGCTACAAAGAGTTCCTAGAACAAAAAGCTGCCGATGCACGTCTGTGCGCAGAAGCTAAACACTCGCGGGTAACTAACGCCACACCAGGCTCTTCTCGTCCCTGCCCACGAAAGTTCACAAGCCTGTACAAACTAACAAACCAAAAAGCGTTGTGCATATTGTGGCTCGGTGTACACGCACAACAGTCGAAGCCACATTTTAAGCCTTTGGTTTAACAGAGTGCTCGTCAAGGAGCAGTGATCGCACAGTGTCCTGTATTTTGGCTGGGATTTGAAGAAATCTTATCAACTAATGTTACATGCAGAAATTCGAGAAGAGGAAAGAGACAAGTGTTTAGCAGGTCCCAAAATACACATAAAGAACAATAATCCAGCGGTTGCCAAGCACAGCTTCTCCCCACCCACCGTTGCTTCCTGTAGGTAACTACTGAAAGAAATGCTGAGACACAACTGCCACCCCTCTGACAACTCTCCGCATACAAACAGAGCACAGGAAACATTTACTGCTGGTATGGAATAACAATCACACTGCACAGAAGAGCCACTATTTACAGTGTTCAAGAGCTTTAGGGGCAGACTGAAAATGAACGTTTCCTTACATGCCATCCACATTTTTCCCACTGTTTTGGTGGGTCTGAAACTTAACGATATTTCCTTCAAGAGACTAACATGTCTTTCGCAGGCAGATTTCATCTGAAAGCCTGGACAGTCCCACGAGAGTACCAGCAACAGGAAAATCCTTGTCCAGGGAGTGGGGGAGAATAATCAAAGAAACAACGTCCTCTACTGTAATCTCTACCAGCAGAAGTCAACGCAAAGACTACCAAAACCATCCTGTGCTTTTCTACAGATTTACTGTTGCAGGCTTTCTGGAAGGTACGCACAGTGCAACATACTACAGGGTCTACTGTTGTTCTCTCTCTCCACTCATCATCTGAGAAACATGCATCATACGGCGCTCCCCATTCGCATAAGCAACTGAGCAACGTCCTGTGGTGAACTACAGTCCCTCTCAGCCCTAAGGTACAGAAATCACTAGTTAGTAAGTAACAGTTGACTTCAGATAGTGACTATTTTTCCCCACAATGTTAGTTTATAATATGACCTTTCAATTTCTGAAATGACTGCCGTGCTGCTGGGAGGAGCCCTAAATGAACATATGCCTAAATAAGGTAATTTCACGCCAAGTGAGAAGTTACCAGCATGGCCTGGCACTGGCACAAGCTTAAGCACACACTAAAAAGAGTTCATTATTTCATTCTGACTCAGCGGGAGGAAATGCTTCAGCACAAAGTGGGTTCCTGAGGAACATTAACCCTTTCGGGGCCCTTAGGGAAGCTGCTTCATGATTTTCATCAGAAATGGGCAGAGTGTTCAGCTATTGCCATCACGTGGGTTTACCTTGAGGGAAGAAAGGGGAAAAACCAAACAAACTAGTGTTCAACACAATCTAGATCTTAGTCTCTATGAAAAATTCTGCATTGGTATTAGAGCAAATGAGCTCCACAGCAGGGAAAAAAAAAACAAACACAAACCAAAATAAAAAACACCAAAACATTCTCAAGCCACTGAAAGCAGAGATGTCTGCTACTTCTTTGTAAATAAATGAAAAAAAAAAATCAATATCCCATCCACACTACTCAAAAATTGGTTGCATACACACACACACACACACTCTCTCTCATCCTCCTTCCTAAACTCGTAAGATGAGACATGCTCTTCCTCTCCCCATCTTCACCTTTACATTTAGTCAGTTAGTGCAAGCAGCAACTATGTGCAAGTAGGTAGAAGTCCTTGGCTAATAAGAAAGACAACTGCCACTCAAAAAATGATTAGCAGTAAAAGTGTCACCAGGTGAACAACGGGCATCAGTATACATTTTGCTAATAGCATGTATTTTGCTTCATTTCTTTTTTCTAATTTATCACTTAACAGATTTTTCCACTTTCAGAAACCTTCTTTTTGCCATATATAACTATGCCTATAACTACATTTAACAAAGAACACATAAAAAATACTTAAGCTTGCAGGAAACTTGCATTCAGAAGTTCAGAACTCCTAGAATGAACATGGTCTCCTTGCAAAAACAGGTGAGGCACATTATTTCTCTGAAACAAGATACACATCTCATTCTGGGCCCAGGATTAGCTGTAGCAAGCCATCTCATGCAGTTAATATCCTTATACCCATCTCTGTAGTTCATGAAGACTCATACAGCCTGGCTGCAAATCTCTTTTTCTAGTACAGAAAGATCCAAACTAACTGGGTAAGATCAGTTGATGGTATGCAGATGCCCAGCTCTCCACTTCCAGTTTTGATTCCTGGCTTTCAGGACCAGTAATATGCCCATTACACAGACGTAAAGGTTTTTCGAGAGCTGCATTTAATTGCACTCACCTGTGCTTTCTCTCTCTTGGCTCGAAGTAGTGTATCCTGGTAATGCTGTGCTACCTTTGGGGCTACACCCTCCAATTTTGCTGCAGGTAACTGTAAGGCTTGAATAGTCTTTTTGGTGTCCCCTTCATCCAGAGCTTCATTGATAAGACCAATTGCCAAAATCCCTAGGGAGGAAGGCGTAGGGGGAAAAATACCAAGTTCCGTTTTTGGTCAACAATAATCATAAGCATTGCTTCAGAAGGAAAGTGCAGTTAGTCCTTCCTAAATCAGGTATCAGCTAACTGCAATATTTTTAACAGAAAACATTATTTAACAGTAAAGAAAGCAAGACTGTTTCTCCACCTTAAAGTAGTCATAATGCCTGGGGACTGCAATTAAAAAAAAAAAAAAAAAAAAAAAAACCCCACGGGGACAC